AACGATAACAATCCACCGTGCTTAAACAAAAAGACAACTATCCCCATAGTCCAAAACAAAAAGAGAAACCGACAGGTCCAAAACCCATATATTTCATCACACGATCACGGTGAGTTACGCTGCTTCTTTGCCATATACAACGCGTGGTATTGATTCGCGTTTGCAAGGTTGATGTCCTTCAACTCGTTGTTCGAGGCACAAGCAATGACACAACTGTAACGCTTCCGCATAAGCTTCATCTGTTCCTTGTCTCCCTTCTTCAACTGAGGACTCCAAGATCTAGAAAACCCGCCCTTAAATGTCTCCATATGACGCATCGTGATAACTCCAACATCCGCCTTGTCAACCCCTTCAGTCCATTCTATGTCAATCACGTCCCGAATGGCCAGTGCAATTGCCTCTGATTTCTTCACAATGTTCCTCTCGCCTAGATACTTCGATAATGAGCATTGCTGCAGTGAATGATTTTGTGATCAGTACAACACACCATAAATAACAAACAATCACACAATAATACCAATCATAATGACTTTATAACATTACCAATAGCTCAGCGTGGGACGTGAGGGTTTTTTTAACAGACGCATTTTTTGCAAATTGTGCGCTGTCGAGTACAGTGAACTTTTGAAGATCAGGCGCCAGACACAATAAGCCCGAAAACAATTCAGTGTGAACAGGAAATAGAAACTGCATAAGATGTCAAAAAATAAATAAAACATGTTGTGAATACACCAAAACTGTTAGCTCACCTAAATCACATATAAACTGAAAACATGAAAATGTGAAAACAGAAATAATAAATTACAGAAACGGACTGTAAAATAAGTATAATACAAGTTTATAATTATTCAATTACCACCGATATTTGCTTCAACTGGTAACGGGATACACGTTCAATTTCTGAATCGAGCGATTGAGCAAACTTTTCATAGCTCAAGCCTTTCTTCCGTTTCCCAGAATAAAACAGCTATAACCATATATTACACATTTTAAATAACAGACAGTAATAAACACATTGTATTATTAAAGATAAATGACTTGCACTATTAAAATAAGTTTATCATACCTCATTGCACGGGGATGTCGATGCAAAAAAACATGTTACCGATCCACGACTTTTGAAGTTCTCGTTATAATTTAGAATAAACGACCACAAACCCAACAACTCTTTCATGATTGGTGTGTTCGGCATCAAACATGCCAGAACGGGCTTCCTCACAGAATATTCGGACGACCGGAATACGATAACATCACTGTCAGCAAATCATTCGTACCACCGAACAGACATGAGTTAGATTGGTATACAAACGAACGAATATATAAACATATGATTATCTATTGTTTTGATATCGTCTAATAATAATAAAATAAAATAAAAACACTCATACTCATCTGGCGTGTCTTTTTTCAAGGCCCATATAGCAATCATTTTCTCATGCCTGTCGAGCTTCTTAACAACGTCAATTGACCTCTGAATGTAGGGGGATTTGACAGCACTTGTAGCCTTGATACGCCTTTTCGGCCTCGGTGACCCCTGTGTGTCGGCCTCACGATCTTTGTCATCATCATCTTTGTCATCATTATCTTTGTCTGACAAAAAAGAAAAATAACAATAAATAAAAAGAAAAAAAATGAAGAAATCAAAAGAAATTAAAACATGAATATATATATATATATATATGTACACAAATGATTTTATATTACCAGGATGTATATTATAATATATCAAGTGATGAAAAAACACAATTACACATATACCTTTGGTTAAACAAACACCGGCTTGCAATTCGGGTTCATCCGCAGTCACCGATTTGACAGGTAAAACAGCGCCAACATCCCCAGCTTGCAGTCCGGTACCATCAACAATCACCATTTTAACAGGTAAGACATCACCGTCAGCTTCATATATGATCATAACAGGAAACATATTAGAGGAAAAAACAAAAAGGTACACTAATATTCATATACATGTATTGTATGGAACTGTAATCACATACCTTTCGGTGCATCCAATACAACGGTGTGTTCACCTGTATCATCACCGATTTTCACAGCTGCATCACCCATATGTTTACGGGAGTCATCAGCAACATCGTCGTCTGATGAAAACCCCAAGCTATAACTAGGAAAACCCTCATGTTGCATCCTCCAGAAGCGGTCCCGTTGTTTGACCGCCCTTATAATTTCATCAATCGCCGCTAATGTCTTAGGGTCACTCCAAAAAGCATCGTCAGCGGATTGAGATGGGGCATCATTGTCATTATCAGTTGTTCCGTCTTTCCTTTCTGACTGAGGTACTTCACTATACACACCGAGGAGCATCCGAGCAGAATCTTGCATTTTCAAGAAGTTGTCATCTTTGAGTAAAACGTGTGGCGCCTTTTCGACTAGCTGGAGTATTTCAATTCCGGTCGTGGCGAGCAATAGGGTTTTAGATGCAAACTCTTGCACATAGGCCTATATAATGATAGTTATAAGTGTAAGAACACGAAATTTTAAGATACACATATATAATTCACATATTATGATTACGCTAATTAGTGCACATTTATATACATCGTGATACACAATTATACATGGAATAATGCACAAAATAAAGATATAACTGATAGACTATCAAAACAAAACATTAATACCAGAAATATCACTAAAAAACTACCATAGATGTAAACATGTAATAATAGTAAAAATAAAATAAAAACAACAGTGTACAACACCACATTATCAATGCATATGCATAATTCGTATGTTCAAAGATGATACATATATATGCACAATAGTATTTATGATGTTGCATATTACTATATCGAAAAGTGCACGCATGTACCTAAGTGACATAACAGACACACATAATATCCAAAAAAAAAAAAAAGGAAAAAAATATAGAATCAACAATGTTCTGCAACCAAACAAATGAAAAGCAACCGGATAAAATCGAGAAAAACATTTTGGCAACGATGTCAAAACCGCACGTTTATCATGCACATTAATTCTCAACACAATGCACAGACACACATTACATGTTGCACACCACATATTCACGTACCTGAACGCTGTTACCTTCCGCGCATCCAGCCTTGTTGTCGCAAGTTTCGGGAACAACCTTATCCAACTGTCGGCTATCAGCAATCAAGCCCAAGTCGGTATCAACAAAACCCCTGCCGAACGCTTTGGAAGAAATCTCGTCGCGTTCCCTGGCCCGTAGCGCCTCGTTGCTCCATGAACTAAACACCGGGAACATTCTTGGCATAGATCTCACTGACAGGACTACTTTGTCTACATAGAACAGCTGCATCGAAGAATGGATCAACACGTAAAACAACCACAACATAATCTCATCGAAGATGTAACATATGTATAACATATAATAGGAAATTGAAGTATATATGTTAAAGACATAATGACTGACCGTCAAGAAAAGCATGGGGCCCGAGTACTTATTCTGCTTGCCATTGCATTCCCACGTTTTCTTTGTGTCAACCAAGCACTGAATCATGTACGAGCACCAATTGAATTTGCCAACATTTGATAAGTCATCAAGTGCGTGAACCAAACGGAAGTTTGCCATTCCATTTAGGCAACTCTCGAATAAGCAGGTAATCATAAGTACAATGAAGTGTCTCTTAAACCAATCGTCACCATCGGCACACTCGTTCATTTTCTCTAACACCTTTGATGCTGTTATATTGGACGTAGTCCTCACATCGAACAGACGAATCCACTCGTCGAGCAGTGTAGATGCAACTCTCTTCTTTTTATTTGAGATTTTAATCTCTCCACGAGGCAGTCCAAATACGGCATGAACATCATCCTCCTTAACATGCTCCTTTTGACCACCATAAAGTTGAATTTTCCGGTCCATGTGGTTGAAGTTGTCAACCAACCAGAATCCCATTTTGGATGGGGTAGTAGTTATGGTCAGGTCCAACAAACTGCCCAGTCCCATTTCACGAACGGCACGCTTTTTGGCGTCTGTCAGCCCAGAAACCGCCTTCACAAACATAGATGATGAAGATCGCATAGTCAAGCTCGGGAACCTGCCCTCATCATCAATACCAATATCAACGTCGGCGCCGTCATTAATAACAGGGCCATCCACAATGTCCTTATCAGCAACTTTCATTTTTCCCTTATCTGAAAAAAACATTGAACGTTATAAAGCTCGTCAAACACCAACCCAACTATACAGTGCCGCCTTTTTTCTTTTTTCTTTTTTTTTTCTTTTTGTAAATTCAGATAAAAGCACATGATCAGGGATNACCGAATTAAAGTCGTAATGTAAAGATTTGTTTGTAAAAAATTACCTTCTTGCATGTTATTCTGTTTCACCGACGGGTCACTTTGCTCACTTTGATTTATTAGGGTCAAGCTCGTACGACGCCTAGTCACTAATCAATGATAACAATCATTATACGGTATATAAAATACAAACTTAAGAACACGTGTAACAAATAATCTCAAGCTAAAATTCAACATTAATTATTGCTCAATCCTAATATGTCTACATGATGCATGTACCTTTCAAAGCACCACTCGGTTGGTCAGTTGTAACTGCATCAACCGCACTGTTGTCTGCAGCGAAAGTATGACAAACATATACTTGAAAACCATGCATACTTAATATCAATATTTAAATGAGATTGTGTTTAAAAACATATAATGAACACCAGTTGTACCTCCTTCAACGTAGTTTTCGGGTACATAGTCATTTGTCTTGTGTAAGGTACCTTTATGACCAACACCTGTGCAAACGGTTATACCGCGCATAAAACACGTTAATGAGAAAGAAATAACTTACTCCGAAAGAACGTAGGACTTAAGACACACTGTACAAAATTCAGTCTATACACATATACGCAACATCAACTGCTTCAACCACATAAACACTTCGGGATTTAGACAAAATACACCATAATATCTCAGTAACCCATACAACTAATCGCCAGCACAGATTTCAACATGAGCATATGAGAAATAAGACAATGTAGTGCTACAGGCATGTGAACAATACGAATTTGAATCGCTAAGGAACAACAATATATATGATTTTCCCCAACTATCCGCACATTACGAACCCTAGTTCTTAGTCTATATTTATTTTTATTTTTTGTTGTTCATAATAACACGAATATAAACTGTACAAATTGAGAAATGAGTAATGGCTAACAAAATACAAGTAGGCCTTACCCGATTTCTTCGACTGTGGCGAATTTCCCATATGTGAATCTACCGATTGATGTAAAATTGGCGATTAATCCTCCAGAAAACTCAACAAGCTCTGCGACGGTGATGATCTTTACTCGCGCATGAAAAAAAAAGACCAAAAATCAGCTGAAGATTTGGCATTAAATTGGAAAAAATCGCATGTCTTAAGAGTGTCCCTTCTAATTCATAACGCAGCTCGACATTCAATGTTGTGATTAATGGATCTGAACGTCCCTTTACCCTAGTCTGTAGTTGAAAATACAATAATGCCCTCAGTCACGAAACAATAGTCTTAAAGTTCACCAAAATTACGTCCATGCCACCGCTCTTTCCCATACTCGGCCTGTCATGGCTGTCTCAATCTCAGCCATCCGTTGAACAAATCTGATGGTATATAATCTTTCTTATTTCTTACACCAACTTCCTTTCTCATATGATCCAAATTCTATATATATATATATATATATATATATATATATATATATATGTATGTGTGTGTGTGTGTGTGTGTGTATATATATATATATATACACGTACATGTAAACAGAATAAGATTTGTCACCTTCGAAAAAAAAAAATTCCCCCAAAAAACATTAAATACACACTGTAAATGGTAATAGAAAAAATGCAACATTAAATACAGTCTGTTTTTGTAGTCTCTGTTTTTGCAGTTTTTAATTTTTGTCTTTAAACTCAATTAGATATAAAATCCCATTATATTTGTTTGTATTTTTAAAATTGATAAATTAACCCTATGCATAAAGTGTTGAATTCTTAAAACGTACATAATTCTTGTTTATGGTAACTTTTGAAATATTTTGTACTTAAATTTTCACGCACGCAGACGTCATAATTATCAATATCATTTAAATAATTATTTTGTATATGCTATGTTAATCTTCTCTCAAAATATTTAGCGTGGATAATGTCTTTATTAAGACTTATAATATTTTTGATACTTTTAACTTTAGACATTTTTCTAACACATGCTATCTATATGTACATATACATATAATGATGTTAAAAATTTAAATATTTCTAGACATGTTTTATTTACAAAAGAGTTTAGGAAAAATTTAGTTGACTTCACTTCTTTCATACATATGTGAAATTTAAATGTTTTTAGACATATTTTGTTTACAAAATAGTTTAAAAAAATTCCAGATGACTTCACCTCTTTCATTAATAATGTAGAAAATTTTAGATACTTTTACATAGGTTATATATTATTTTAGATATTTTTAATATTTTAAACATAAATTTTTATGTTCTTTTATACAAGATAATTTTATATAGATTACGATAAACAAATAATAATACTTTTTCAACAACACGACCGTGAAATTAAACTAATACGTAGCCCGTGCGATGCATGAGATAGAGATGTTGAATGAGTCATTTTCATAGGATTTGTCCGTTTAAGCCTAAAAAATAATAGAGTTGGATCATCTATTTTCTGCCTCTTTTAATTATCATTGTTTTTTAGTTAGAACGTTAAACCTGAGTCTGTTAGCGCTAGTATGTAAATTAATTAATATATTATCCAGCTAGTATGTTTACACTAATATAAATTTAATTTAGTATATATATTTATTCTTTGACATGAAAAAAAATAACAATTTTACTTATTTTTATTCACCATATAATACTTAATTATTATTTTTCTATAAAATTTGTTTTCATTGAATATCATTATTATTGTTAGTATTATTATTTATAAAAGTTATAGAAGTAGTCTTCTTATTCTTTTATTTTATGTAATTAGAAAAATTTAATGTAAATAATTTGATTTTTATTTAAATAAATTTAAAGTGTATAAATATTTTACAAACAATACACACATGGTTTTTTTAGAATTCATTTTTTATAATAATTAAACAACTTTGATTTAGCAATTTTCAAAAACTAAATTTCTTCTATAATTAAGAGATATTTCTAATTTGCTTCCTAAGGTTCTATAGTTTATTTAGCTTACCATGCAATGAAAATTTATTTTACAAGTATTTCATTATGGAAAGAAATCAAAATAAAAAAGTGATAAAAAGTCAATCATGGTTGACAATAATATACAAACTAGTTTTTGACCCGTGCACATGCACGGAAAAATATACGATAGAAGAAAAAATAAAAAAAGAAAACAATTGTAAAATTCATAACATGATCGTTGAGAAAAAAATGAACCTATAAAATCTAAATCTAAATATTATTAAACACTTCTTTATATACAACGTTCGTGGTTTTTCTATCGTCAAAATCTCCATCACCACAAATCATTATTTTCAGACCCCTCTGATTCGTGACTCTAGATAGTGCCACATACAACTGTCCATGACTGAATACAGGGTTCTTCAATAGTAATCCGACGTGGGACAGTGATTGGCCTTGGCTTTTGTTGATAGTCATAGCATATGAGACCATGAGCGGAAATTGTCTACGCTGAAATTTGAACGGTACCCTCAAATCAGATGGTATGATTGTGAGCCTAGGAATAAGAACCTTGTCACCAGCTCTGGCACCGGTTAAAATTCTGCATTCGAGGACATGGCTGAGCTTAGTAATAACCAACCGTGTACCTGTTGACATCAAAACTCGGAAAACAAAATCATATCACTCAAAAATGTACAAAGATAAAAGAAAATGTAGATGAAAAATTGAATTTTGATGAACAGTACCGTTGCACAACCCCATGGAGTGATCAATATTTCTGAGAAGCATCACTGGAGTGCCGACCTTGAGATGGAGTTTATGATTCTGAAGGCCAGAGCACTTGATCCCATTGAGAAACTCAAGAGCGTGAAGATCCTGAAGAGAATCATATCCAACATCTGACTTGCACGGGGTGTCTGAACTCAAGTAAGTCCTTCCCTCGGATGAGTTCAGTGAGCTCATGTACTCGTTAATAGACTCAACCACATCAAGTGTGGGAGCGAGTATGGCTCTGTCCTTCAGATAGCTAAGATCGTCACCTGCATTCCTGAACATGGGGTAGGTACTCTCAACAATAGTACCAATAGGATCCCCTTGTGAGTGTAGAAGAAAATCGTCGGGGATGTCGATATCGGCACAATCGTCGTTCGATTCACCGACTGTACCGTCGCCGATGTTTGCAAGCCACTCAGAGAAGTTCCTCAACTCATCGTACTCATTGCCGCCACCAAGGCTTCGAAGCCTCATATTGCGAGTAAGGCTCAGAATGATACAATCGCGCCACAACTTGGATGAATTGATGGTCGCATTAACTATGTCGCTTCGACTGCCTTTAGGGACAACAGGGAGTATCTGTCTGAAATCCCCACCTAACACAACACACTTGCCGCCAAATGGGAGATTTTTCCTTGATGGATCAACTGCTTCCATTAAGGCTCGCAAGGTGTTGTCAACCGCCTGGAAGCAATATTTGTTCATCATCGGGGCTTCATCCCAAATGATCAACCGACATCGTATGATCAGTTCGGCCAAAGGGCTCTGCTGGCTAATATCACATGTAGAACCTTCCATTGGGTTTAGTGGGATTTTGAATCGTGAATGAGCAGTGCGTCCGCCGGGAAGCAAAAGTGATGCAATACCGCTCGATGTAACGTTCAACACAATTTCACCTTTTGATCTCAATGCAGACAACGCCCTCCAGACATACGTTTTTCCGGTGCCGCCGTAACCATAAACGAAAAACATGCGGCCGTAGGTACGGTAAACAGAGTCCATTACCGAGTCATAAACATTGCGCTGCTCATCAGTCATATTGGCAACCAACTCCTGATTCTCAGTAGCGAGTGCGCGACGATCGTAATTCAACTCGTCCATCACCAATCTGTTCGTGGATGCCTCATTACGATCGAGATTAGGAAAAGGCATTGTACCGTATTCGCGTAGGCTCGCACCACGTCTGCGCAAAATTTTTTCAACCTCCGCCAATGCCAGATTCTTTACTTCATCATCGGTCAAAACCAATTCTGTAACAACAATATAGAAAGTTTATAAATATAAAGACATAAGAGAAAAAGAAAAAAAAATATAAGTATGTGACAGTAAGAGAATCGTTTACCTAGGTGCTGTAAAACCCTACGACGATTATATAATATGTCATCCGATAGGTAAGTCCAGCATGATTCCCACACGAACTCCGGTCTACCGAGAGTATCAGAAGACAACAAAGTAGCAAAAAGGTTTCTCAACGAATTGGCACTCGACCACTGGCTTGCCTCGATAATCCCTTCAATGTACTCTTTGTCGTCCTCAACCAGACCGAGGGTATAACACGCATCACGATAAGAATCGTGTTGTACACCGTCCAACTTCATATAGTCACGATGGCACGTTGCACCTCGAACAACGTTGAGAAGACACCTCAAGTAATGTATGTCACCAGCACCAGGGGGGACGAAGTACAAACGCGCGATTCGGTCACTTCCTTTCCTAGGCTCCCAACTGTTGGTTTCCGGGTGCCACGTAAATTTGGTGGGAGCCTCAACGTACGTCAGTTTCCTAGCTTCAGGATACTTCTTGTTAGCTTCCATCCAAGCTAAGAATTTGCTGACGGCATTTTTATTTTTGTTAACCACTTC